GAAGGAAGGGATGCCATTCAGAGGGACCTCGACAGGCTGGAGGGCTGGGCTCGGGTGAACCTAATGAGGTTCAACACGGCAAAGTGCAAGGTTTTGCATTTGGGCTGGAAGAACCCCAGGCACCCGTACAGGCTGGGAGGAGTGGTCCTTGAGAGCAGCTCGGCAGAGAAGGACCTGGGGGTCCTGATGGACGAGAGACTGAACATGAGCCAGCAGTGCGCTCTGGCAGCTCGAAAGGCAAATGGGATCCTGGGCTCCATCAGGAGAGGGGTGGTCAGCAGGGACAGGGAGGTGATTGTCCCTCTCTACTCGGCTCTTGTGAGGCCCCGTCTGGAGTACTGTGTCCAGGTGTGGAGCCCTCAGTACAAGAAAGACATTGAGATTTTGGAAAGGGTCCAGAGGAGGGTGACTAAGATGATCAGGGGGCTGGAGCACCTCCCCTATGAGGACAGGCTGAGGGAGTTGGGCTTGTTCAGCCTGGAGAAGAGAAGGCTGCGTGGTGACCTCATTGCAGCCTATCAATACCTGAAGGGAACCTACAGCCAGGAGGGGAGTAAACTCTTCAAAAGGGCTGACAACAGCAGGACTAGGGGAAATGGATCGAAGTTGAAGGAGGGAAGATTTAGGTTGGATGTTAGGGGGAAGTTCTATACAAGGAGAGTGGTTAGGCCCTGGAACGGGCTGCCCAGGGAGGTTGTGGATGCCCCGTCCTTGGATGTGTTTAAGGCCAGGTTGGACAGGGTCCTGGGCAACCTGATCTAAATGTGTGTGTTTGGTGGCCCTGCTAGGCAGGGGGGTTGGAACTACATGATCCTTGAGGTCCCTTCCAACCCGGGTGATTCTGTGATTCTGTGTGTGATTCTGTGTGGTATATTATGATGCATGAGATCAGAAAAAGAGGAGGTTGTGCTTCTCCAGGTGATTTGGAGAGGATTATACATTTATATATCTATCTGGAAGATATTTAGCTAGCAGGAAACTTACCTGTGTAATCTGTTCTTATTCTGTTCTTTAGATCTGAAGACACTAAGATTTAGCAATCAAAACATCATTGTTAGGAAGGCCTTGTTGAGATTTTAACATGGAAATGTATTTGTAGAGTTTATTTGGTCCTTCCTGATTACAGACGTGATAAAGTGCTACTTCCAGACCAGGAAAAATCATAGGTGACATAAATGATTCTTAGTTAATACCTTAACATCAGGGAAGTTATAAAAAGATGTTTATGTGCCAAAGGATTGGCAAGGTCATATTGTTTCTGGAAGAATATAGACATCAGATCACACAACGGTACTTGCTTGATATTATCTCTTCATTTGGTACAGCTGCAAGACTTGGACCTGTCTCATATTTTAGGATTATATAGGTCCCCAGCTGAGGCAAACATTTGAGCATGCTTTAAATGCAATTCTAATTAAAACCTTTTTCTCCTTGCCATTCCAACTTAAAGGCTGCTAGTCCAAATTAAATGCCATTAGCTTATACATTTTTCTCACTGCAGTATTGAGATGTCAGCCATAAATCAAAATCTTTTTATCTTCTGACTTTGATCCAATATGTCTCTAATAAACCCTTAGTTACACTGTTATGTAGAACGGTTGTAATAGGGTCCATGACACCATTTAGAACATGTTTATTTTAATAAGAAGAATTAATAAATTGTGTTTTCTCTAAAAATAACTAAAACAAAGAAACAAACAAACAAACAAACAAACAAAAAAACACCAACAACAACAACAAAAAACAAACCGAAACAAACAACTCTTGTCTTCAGAGTAAAAGTTTTTTATTGTTGTTCAGTAACAAGTAAATTAAGTCTAGATTTTCATACAGTGTATATTTATTAATAAGCCATTTGCCAAATTATCTGATTAACAATTTAATCAATGAAATGCAATTTAGGATTACTGATGATGTTAGTCTTATCTCTTGAGATTAGAAGTAAGTTTCCTGTAATGTAGGTTTGGAAGCAGTGCCAGGGCTGGTGTGTGTTTTCATACAGTTTTCTCTCAGTGTACAACGCGCAGACATTTTTTGACAATTATTTCCTGTAACATTTTAAAGAAGTGGTAGAAAGTTACTGGCAGAAAATTTAGTATCAGGGTTAGCGAATTCATATAGGATCAGGCATTCACAGAGTTAAGGTTATGGACATGTAAGATGAGATGGAAGTAGTGGGATACCACTAGCTGTTCTTCAGTGTAGATCTAAACCTTAATCCATAAAGATTGTTAAAGCCTCTGGAGAGGCTGGGTGACTGTGGTGACTGTTATCCTAAAAAACAGATGGTAAAGTGAGTGACACCTATAAATGTGCAGGCTGTGTTACTTCACTGACAAGATGCTAAGCCCTTCTGGCACTAAAGTAAAAAGACAGGTGTTTTTGACACAAAAAAGTAGTATTGAAACTATGCCTCAAGCCATGTGGAGAGTCAGAGCCAATTTTTCAAGTAGAAGTAACTAAAAATCTAAATTGGGGTATACATGTAGAAGCACGACAGCTTCAGATCTTTCTCATCAATAAATTTTTGACGAGTTCTAGTGCCTGTCTTATACCTGTAAAATTAGCCAATTGCCGTTCAAATAAAACTCACCATTTCAAGGTTTGAACTGTTTGTAGCTTTGCTCTAGAAATCTTTTGCAGCTAATTTCCTAGCAAATGAAATGGCAAGAAGAATTTTTTGCTTTCTTTGAAAACTTCCTTTATGTTCCACAGTAGGATTCTTCAGTTACCTTTGCGTCTGCCTTAAATACAATATGAAGTTAATCAAGTACTCAGATACCATGTATTATAATAGCAATTAGCCTGTTTAGAGATTCATGTGGCCAACAGGGAAAGCACAATGGTGTAAAAACCGATTTAATGAGTATACTTACTTGAAAATCCATAATCACTTCAACAGATTACTTTGTTGAAAAAAGTATTAAAGCTAATAGCATTTAATCTACTTGCTTGAATGTAGTAATATTTTTCAGAAACCAGTAAAAATAAAGCTTCAGTAATCGAGTACTACCAGATGGTAAAATCTCAAGTGCAATTCTTTCTCTGAGAAATTGGGCTTCTATCTTTTTTCTGCCTTCAAATTTTAAACACCTATTTATGTTTATGGATGAAAGTAAGTTGTTAAGCAATAAAAACTGCCTCAGGTTCACACTGAAAGAAAATGCAATGGAACTCAAAATAATAATAATAATAGTAATAATAATGATAGTAAAAAAAAAAAAAAAATCCATGAAGAATAAAGGGAAGTCTATCTTCTCTTTGTAGTTGTGATGTGAATTACATCCACTACTTGAAAACAGTTTTTTTGCATTGCAATGGCAAGTCTTTTATGTATCCAGGAGCTGACTACTTCTTTTCCACAAATACAATGTCCATTATAGTCTATACAAATTATCAGTTTCAGAATATCTTTATATACTTCACCCTTATTATCTCTTTTAGTTGGAGTAGTTCTCCTCTAGGCAAATAATCTCCTTGTTCATTTGTTTTGGCTGGATAGGTTATTATTACAGTTCTGATCTAAATGGTGTGTTCAGCCACTATGTGTTTCTGGTAACCAGGACACTTTAGCAATGTATTTTATTATTCTATGATAATTAAATTATATTGGCAGGTGCAGAACATGTGGATGACAAAAAGGTTTACATCTGCACATTAAAATAAACCATAAGGCTTCTTTTCTTTTTTTTAAGTATTGTTTCCCATGTTGCTCATTCAATGTCAATATGATAAAAAAACTGTAATACAACAACAAAAATGATTTATAGGTCCGAAAGTAAGCAGTAAAAGAGAAAGCATGACTCCACAGTCTTCTGTTAGGGTTACTAACCTAGAAGGGGGTTTCATTTGAGCAGCACTGCATAAAATCCCTGGGAAAAGTGTCTGGAGACAGGTTCTTCCCTTTTTCAGTGAGTGCTTGTTTTATTAGACTTTTCTCTCATAGCTATACATTCTGCATTCTTGGTTGTACAAGAGACCAATCTCTAAAGAAGATTAGAAAGTAGTTCTATTCCAGCCTGGTGATGAGGACATCTTTCAAGGCTTCATTATAGATTGGGAGGACCAGCTTTCCACTTTCCCAAGTAACTATTGTAGCCATGTAATTACTGTGCTAAAACTGTTCATTAAAACCACATCCATTCTTCAATAGCCATATTTAAACAGCAAATATTGAATTTTACTAGGAACTATTGTAATTTACTACATCTCATCTATTGAAATCTAAGTGAATGCTTATTTTAAGAAACAGTGTTATTTTCACAGCCAGAAGTTTAGATATGGCAAAACTAATCTGCTTTTGCCACCATTAATCATAACTCTGTCTCTTCTGATTAATTTCACACTTTTTTTTTACTATTTATGCACTGCTGTTAATAATTTCCTTAATGTATGCTCAAATTGCCATATATTACCCAACTTCATCACAGAATATATCTTTTAGTTTAAATTTGTTTTTCTTGCTTCTTCCTGAGGAGCATAAAATGGTATTTCTGATATATTTGACAGCTAACCATCTTTTTTTTTTTTTAATCCCTCAAACAGATTGTTTTGTTTCCTAATAGTTCCCCAGTCAGTAAGAGTAAAAAACATAGTATTACTCATGAAAAACTCATTTTTATTTAATGTCTGATAATTTTTGCTCCTAACGGTATGGAAAAGGACTTGTTTCTCAGCCCTCATCTCTCATAAGCTGAGATGTGCATATGGATGTCTTTTGGATTAGTGTCAAACTTGAAGTGTTCTGTGATCCTGATTCTTTTTCAGTAGTTGCAGACTTTTATCCATATTAGCATTCATGTTATTCCAAGACTAACTAGGGGGAACTTCTTTCAAAATGAGCTTTTACTTTGACCTGAAAGGATACTAGAATTTTTCTTGATCTAGTTTCTGTACTTCACCCAGTTTGGCTTGGAAGACCCAGCTCTCAGTGAGTTGCACTTGTTGCCTGAGTGGCTATAGGGTTCAGTTGAAATCAAGCCCTTCATTTATGTGAGAAGTCACATTGTCTAGAACTAAAAGATTCTAAGATTTCAGCTGAATGCGTAGGCTTTAAAGTATAAAATTCTCTTTGGCTCATATCCTTCATGGAGCTGGCAGAGATGTGTGTAAGTACTAGTCATAAAATCATAAAATAATTTAGGCTGGAAGGCTTTGCTGGAGGTTCGGTCTGTAACTCAGAGAGCCCAAACCGGGCACAGTATTCCAGCTGTAGTCTTACAAGCACTGAACAGAGAAAAATGATCATTGCCCTCTAAGTCTGACTACATTTTTGCTCAGTTATCTACCCAGTCTTCTTTACTAGAAGGTAACACTGCTGAGAGAACATTGAACATGTTGGTCTGTAGATCTCTCCTAGGTCTTTTTTGCCAAAGCTGATTTCTATCCAACCTGCATTATTACATGGAGTTATTCCCTCCCAGGGACAGGACTTATGCATTGCTGAACTTCACAAGGTTTCTGTTGTCCGTTTATCCAGCCTGCAGATCTCCTTCTGAATAGACCTCTGCTTTTCAGTATGCAGAGCACCTGTCTCCACCTTCATCTGTGCTCTTGCAGAGGGTGCGCTCTGTCTCATGTTCTAGGTAGTCAAGGGGCAGTTAGGTGGTTAAGATCAAACATTTAAAATTAGATCATAAATTGGTAATATATCTTACTAATACATTTAATTTGATTTCTGTCCTTACGTATTCTAGAAAATAAATGACATTTTCTAATTCGTCTGAATGCAGCATCAAAGCTTCATTAAGGCTGGGGAGTTCGTACAAAATTATTATTAATGTTATTAATTTTGTAAATTGATGTCCAACTGCTATGGCAATGGGTACTCTATAGATTGTGCTGTTCAATAAATGTAAGTTTGGGAATGTCTGATATCGGCAAAATTAAGTGACTCAAAATGAATTTTGCAGAGTACAAAATCTAATAATGATATTGTCTTTATATCAGAAAATATTTAACAAGTTTTTAAAAAATCTCCAATGCTCTGGACCTTGATTTCCTTTTTTGTTTGAGGGCTAGAACATTAGGATTATGCTCATGTATCTAACACCATTTCTTCCCAAGACTAGCATCTCATTGTAATTTTCTTTTTTTAAAAAGCAATGTTTTTTTCATGTGATCTCCATCATTGCATCTTAGTATTTCTTGGTTGCATAGTGAGCAATTTGATATCTAATTCCTTATTTGGAGAAAATATTTTTTTGTGAAATGCTCTATGTTGAATCTTGTGGGGTTGAGACAGTTAATCTACCTTTTTCTACTCCTTAATAAACCAATGCATTTTATGCCAATTTATCTACTAATTTCATAATCGCTACCCATTATAAATTATAAACTCAGAAACTAAAATCTCTAAATACATTTCATTACATTACTCTGTAAATAGTATGAAGCTATTATAGATATTGATGAAAATGTTAATTCCATTTATTTAAACAAAGGAATGACACTTGCATGTCAGTATTACCTATTATGGAATGCAGACTCTGCTAAGTGCGTATAATTTATGTGGGTTCTATCTAGTTCAGTATTTCACCTAGCAAATGTACTAAGATATTGGTGATATTCTTTCACTTCACTTATTTTTTATAACGACAGGAAGGAGTTTGTGATTATCTCACATGAATACCTGTACCACATAGGCTCTGGGATTTCTTTTGATTGGTTAATTCAATTGGTTTATCTTGTTGGTTATTGGAATCTCTATTTTGGAAGAAAATATTTCTATTCTAGCAATATTCAGTGACAGTGAATGTCAGGGTACTTCTGAACTTTTTTTTTTTCTTTTTTTTTAATTTATTAAATAATAGGTTACATTTTAAGTATGTTGATTTAAATTTTTTAGTAATTTAATCTTGCTGTTACTTGTGTCTGTCAGATTAAAGCATCTGCTATCAGAAAATTTGTAATATAGCTAAAGGTTCTCTGATTTGATGATTTGATGAGATCCATTGGTCCACTTCTTGAGCCTTGAAACAATCTTCTAGTTCTCTGATCTTCCACATCCTGAAAGATTTCTTTTCTGATGCTCAGATGAATAGATTACTATTCTAGTAGTGGGCTTTTCTACATGATATACAAAAGTAATGCACTGGGCCTATTTTAACATGACATTCTGCATTATTTATATGAATAATTAGAATGCAATTTATGTTAGAATCACATTAACCTTTTTTGCTACCTTGTATATGAAACTCATGCTCAACCGATTATTCACGATGGCCCTTATATCTTCTTGGATGTAACTACTTCCCCAGAAGGTTTTTTTGTTGTTCTTGTCTCTTGTCCACCATCATTCCCAGCTGTCAGTCATGTTTTTTATATCTGGTCATGTTGCAATACATAGCTTACTTGGACCCAGTGTTCCCCAGGGCTCAGTGCTGGGGCCTGTCCTCTTCTATATCTTTAATGATGACCTGGATGAGGACACTGAGTGCACCCTTAGTAAGTTTGCAGATGACACCAAGTTGGCTGGAAGTGTCTATCTGCCTGGGGGTAGAGAGGCCCTACAAAGGGGTCTGGACAGGCTGGATAGCTGGGCTGAAGCCAATGGGAAGAGATTCAACAAGGCCAAATGCCTGGTCCTGCCACAACTTTGGCCACAACCCCAGGCAATGCTACAGGCTTGGGGCAGAGTGGCTGGAAGACTGCATAGAGGAAATGGACCTAGGGGTATTGATTGGTGCTTGGCTGAACGTGAGCCAGCAGTGTGCCCGGTTGGCCAAGAAGGCCAATGGCATCCTGGTTGGCATCAGAAACAGTGTTGCTGGAAGTAACAGGGAAGTGATTGTCCCCTGTACTCAGCTCTGGTGAGGCCACACCTGGAATACTGTGTCCAGTTTTGGGCCCCTCACTGCAAGAAAGACATGGAGGCCCTGGAGCATGTTCAAAAAAGGGCAACAAAGCTGTGAGGGGTCTGGAGTACAGGGCTTATGAGGAGTGGCTGAAGGAGCTGGGAATGTTCAGCCTGGAGAAGAGGAGGCTCAGGGGAGACCTTATTGCTCTCTATAACTACCTGAAGGGAGGTTGTAGTGAGCTGGGTGTTGGCCTCTTCTCTCCCATAACTAGTGATAGAACTAGATGGAATGTCTTCAAGCTGCACCAGGGGAGATTTAGGCTGGACTTTAGGAAATACCACTTTTCTGAAAGATTGGTGAGGCACTGGAATGGGCTGCCCAGGGAGGTGATGGAGTCACCGACCCTGGAGGTGTTCAAGGAATGTTTGGATTTTGTGTTGAGGGACATGGTTTAGTGAGAACTATTGGTGACAGGTGGATGGTTGGACTGGATGAACTTGAAAGTTTTTTCCAACCTTAGTGATTCTGTGATTCGGTGATTCTGTGATTCAAATTGCATCAGGATCCAAAATTCCTCCTACTCAGTGATTTGTTTTATTTATTCACTTTTCCCTTAATTCTTGTTTGTGTGCAAACTTCATATCTAATAGTTTTGTCACATCTATTGATAAAGATCATAAATCACAGAGCCAAGGTTTATTCCTTGAAGGATACCAGTAAAAATAAACCTGGTTGATCATGATTCTCTGTTTACCGTTAGTTTTTTACAGTTATTAACCACTTTTTCATTAATTTAATGTGTAAAGACTAGAAGTATTCTCTAGTTTCACTAGCAAAATGCTGTGAAGTGTTGATTATTTTTTTTATGAAATAGAAATCAATGTCACTAAACCACTATTATTTTTTATTATACTACAATTACCCTTGTCAAATAAAATTTTATTCATTTTACTGAATTTGTTTTTCATGAACCTATATTATCATATTTCCTAATCATATGTGTCTAAGTTTCTATAGGTATGTGATACTTTCTCGGAGTCAGAATGAAATTGACTTCTATAACCTTTAAAAAACTATTTATGGAATATTTCTGCCTTCATGTTGTTGTTGACTATTCCAACGTGCCAGTCATGCCAACATTCTTTTGAATGTAGGTTCTACTTCTAAAAAACATTTTTTCTTTTGTTCTAAGCTACTCTTTAAAATTACTACTGCTGCCTTTCTTGATCACTGAATCCTTTGAGATCTAGTAAAATGTTTTTTCCCTTATCTGCATATAATCCATTTAAAGGTACCTGCTGTTTCTAGAATGTCACATAAGCACTTATTTACATATTATCACAGACAGTAAAATGAACAGTAAAATTGATGTGCTTATCTCATTCAGTATTACGTTCATCACTGAACTGTGTCTTTAACATGGAAGGCAAAGTAAATTTTTGGACAATAAACATATCCTATTCATAGCAATGAAAGGTCAAAGACACAAGAACACATTATAAATAAAATATTCACAAGAAAGCTCTGCATTCAATTATGGTGGTAGCTTCCAGTACAGATTATTCCAGATTCTCCCATACACCACTGTCCCAACTGCATGTAGATTAAAAGACTGCGGAGGCACTTATGACACATTATTTCTTCTCTGAATGACCCAAAACTTACCTTGTTAATGATGGGGAAAAGGGTAGTGCTCTTAGCATACAGATGTCATTATATCTGCATTCCTCCATTCTTGAAAACAGGAGTATGGGAATCTGTAATGTTCACAGTTATTTGTGACCTCTTATATTATTGTGTTACTTCCAAAACACAGTTTAGAACATTTGGCATCATAATAGTAAATTAACATTATACTTCATGAGGTGGTGAATTTTGTAACCTGTTCAGTCAAGTGTCATAATTCAGTTAATTTTATTTTAGGCATAAAACCTGTGAGTTTACAATAAAATGCTCAAAAGCATTATATCAAACAATGTATATAAAGCTATTTTTGTATATAAAGCTATTTTTCTTCACTGTTACCTGCTGGATTTTTTAACTGCTGCTTAGTGTTCCACTGAGCACAAACTGCTGCTCTATTTATTCTGACTTTGGACAGTCAAAAATATTATGTCATGCTTTTAGCTGGTTTCAGTGGGTATTGTATCACATATAAAAATTGAGTTAAATATTTATAAGATTGCATGTATTCTTAAGGGATAGAAA